GACATGAATCCAGCCGCCGCTCCGTGGGAGAAAGATGAGACTTTCTTTGGACTTTCAGTTTGGTTTTCTTTGTATAGCTGGAGGCAGGACGACAAACAGACAAAACCAACTCACTGCCATCCATTCTGACTCGTGCCAGCACTACAGGACAGGTATTGGTAAATGTCTTCATTCGCCAGGCAATCATTTAATGAGAAGAGACAAATCTATGGGTGGAAAAGTGTATTCCAGTTATAAAAGACAAGATAGATCGTGTATTAATGCTGTATCAGGAAATCTACTGAAGTAGAGAGCCTATGCATAATTTACCTATGGCTCTTTTTAAGGCCATGTGAGTTAACCCACAATGCAATAAGGAGCAGTTAATCTTATGAAAGAATTCCCCCTAGTCTCATGACTGCATTATTAAATTCAAATATCACCTCACACGACTAGAAGGAATAAAAATAAAATGCTTCAGAAATGAAAATTCTTAAACTCATTGCCTATGCGTCGTCTGCCATCTAGTGTTAAGCTGTGGAAGTAAAAAATTTCTGTAGGTGCAATCGATTTGAAACCCGGCTGACCAGGAGACAAATGTATGACTGACCCAAAGCAACACTTAGGCTTTTTTGTTTTTCCTATAGTTTTGGTTTCTCCTCCTCCTCCTCCTCCCCCTCCCCCTCCTCCTTCCTCTTCTTCCTGGTGAAACTATACACAGCAATCTTTCAATTCTAAGACAAGGAGTTATAACCAGTGGTTATACCAGTGGTTCCTAATGCTGCCATGACCCTTGAATACAGTTGTGGTGACTCCTAACCATAAAATTATTTTCGTTGCTATTTCATAACTGTCACTTTGCTACTGTTATGAATCTTCATGTAAATATCTGACATATTTTCATTTTTACAAATTGAATATAAAGCATAGTGATTTGTCACAAAAACAATATGTAATTATATATTGTGAAATAGTTATTTCTAATTACAAATAAATGAAATTTTATCTTGAAGCATGGTGTAGCATGGGCAACAGTCTTAATATAACAACAGGACACTACATTGCTATGTTTTGCGGCAATATGCATAAAAAGCCAACATCAGTGGGAAGGTTCAGATAGCTTCTGTCTCACCAGATCAGCATAGCTGCATGTGGGCAGACCCACCTGCAGACAGACAGAGGAGCAGTGTCTTGGTTCCTAAGACCATCGGAAATACGTTTTGAGATGGTCTTAGGCAGCCCCTGTGAAAGGGTCGTTCAACCCCCAAAGGGGTCACAACCCACAGGTTGAGAACCGCTGGGTTATACGGTGACGCCATCTCAGGTCTGTGGAGGTGGAAACAAGTGGGTGGGCGGGTTGCTACCAGTGACTTCTGAGAACTGGTTGGCAGTGAGTCTGTTCTGACCCGTGGAGGCTCCAGGGGCGTCCGAGGAGAAGGGCACAGGTTTGCAATGGCTCAGGCCCTTCTTCCAAGGGCCTGAACTGCCAGTCTTTCCACTGGCGCATCAATTAGCACCTGGAGCAAGAGGCTAGCAAAATGCTTCCTGATTCTGGCTGCTTAACAGCATCCCCTGTGGAACTTGGGGAACATGCAGGTGTCCAGGAAACACTGGAGACTCTAGGCAGTCAGATCCACTGGGGAAGACATGGGCACTGGCGGGCCACAAAAATTCCCAGGTGATTCGAATGTGCCGCCAGGGTTGCCAACACTGGATGCTGGGCTAAGACTGTGAACTCTCGTTCTTGGATTTCCACGGCTGTGTGGGAGCAGACAGTCTCTTTGTTCGCCTTCAGAGTGGCTGATGGGCCACTGACCTTGCGGTTGACAGCCCGAAACCAAATCCTACAATGCCGCCAGGACTCCTGACAGCAAAGAAGGTCCTACATTCGTGAGGCACATTTGCTGGGTTTGATGTTTGTTGAGCTGATAAAGGAAAGTAGACCACATTCAGAAGATGTCCAAAAAAGGAGCTAGAAACCCAGAGTGCGAGTTCAGAAGGAAAATAGGCCTCTCTGGGTAAAGACTTGGGAGCTAATAGAATGGTTGCGATAGAAGTGAGCAGGCATGAGTCCTCTCACCCAGAGACTGGGGAGAGTCCCAGGGGGCATGGGTGGCTTTCTACAGAATGGTATCCCATCAGAGGAAGGAAAGCCAGCAAAGGAAACTTTAAGTGCACCAAAAAGAGAATTTTAAAGTATTAATTTAAACAACACAGAGATTAAGTAAAAAACAAAGAAATGCAAAGGGTCAAGTACACTAAAGGCAGAAAGATGTGGTTTCTGTGAAAAGGATGTCAATGGGACTCCAATTTGAATCCCTGGGTGGGGCAAATGGTTAAGCACTTTGCTACTAAGCAAAAGGTTGGCAGTTCACATCCACCACAGTGCCTCAGTAGAAAGGCCTGGAGATCTACTTCCAAAAGGGCACAGCCATTGAAAGCAAATATAACCATAGTACATTCCTAGCTAACCAACAGTGAATAAGTTATGAAACGTTCATAGTGACTTGACAAACATGTTTAAATTTCAGGCTAGGAAGGAGGTGCTAAGGAGAGAATCGGTGAGCTAATTGTACGAAGCCCTCCTCTCCTATGTTACCAAGTTAATAAAATCAAAAGAAATCCATTGCCATTGAACTGATTCATAGTGACCCCTACAGCTTCCAGGCTGAAATCTCCACAGGAGCATACCGCTTCCCCTTTCCCCCCAAGAGCGGTTAGTCCAGGGCTTACTCGGCAGCTCTGCAATAAGGTGAATTCACTAAGTAAGCATTTAGCAGAATAGATCACCTAATATCCTAAAAGATGGAAGTAAATACCAGAACAAAGTGCTTAAACAGCTTGGGGAGGTCAACTCAGGAACAGGGGGGAATAGACACAAAAGTGCCATTTTTGTATCTGAGTCTTGCAGTATTTACAATTTGTAAACTATGTACAAATATCGTTGTTGTTAGATGCCATTGAGTTGGCCCCGACCCATAGCGACCCTGTGCACAGCAGCACGAAGTCCTGCACCGTCCTCACAATTGTTCCCCTGCCGGACGGAGCCTATAGTTGCAGCCATGGTGCACCTCGTTGAGGGATCCTCCTCTTTTCCACTGCCCCTTCACCTTTTTTTTTCTTTTTTGGCTTTCTTTCTTCTGCCCCTACCAAGCATGATGTCCCTCTCCAGGGACTCCTCTTTCCTGATAAAATGCCCAATGTCAGTGGAAGTCTTGCCCTTGGGTGGACTTCTTCCAAGAGAGATGTTTGTCCTCTTAGCAGGCCATGGTATTTTCACTATTCTTCTCCAGCACAACGCAAACACATCGATTCTTCAGGTGTCTTTCTGATTCAATGTCCCAACACTCTCACATGCATATGAGGCAATGGGAAATACCAGGACTTGGGTCAGGCACACTTTAACCCTCAAAGGAACATCCTTGCTTTTCAATATTCTACAGAGGTCTTGTGCAGACTTACCCAGTTAAAAAGCTCAAATAGTTTTGATGCACCTAAGAAAAACGGAAAGTTTGAAACAAACATTCCTGCTTTAACGGTGCCCAGGTCCCACAGTTGATCTGGTAAAGAGCCGTGTGGGCGCAGTGAGACGCGGCGCACCTTGGAGCTGCGGCCAAACCATCACCATAGAGCGGAGACAGCACAAGGCAGTGATTCACGTGGACTTTCTGTGGTTTCCTGGAGCTTATCAACATTATCTTTATACGATACTGTCATCTATTAAAGTGTGCAATAGCATTGTGAGAAAGTTTGAAGGGTGAAAATTACCGAAGTATGACATGGAGACCTGAATTGAGTATATGCTGTCGGGAAAATGGTGCCCATAGACTTCCTTGGTGCAGGGTTGCCAGGTACTTGTGAAGCACCATGAAAGGAGATATACCTGTGTAATACATCACAGCATACAATTGGCCACACATTACAAACCATTTTTAAGAATATATGGTGATTCAGAACGAGGCCAACACATGCTTTATAATGACATACAGAATGTTGTGTGCTCATTCTTATTTATAAAGGAGGTGGGGCATTTTCAAATGTGTACACTTTATACATGCATGGATGGGGTGGTAGCTACATAAACTGGTGTCAATTTGCGATTTGAGAGGATTAAGAGTGAAGGGGTGGAGTCTAGTCTGTCAATCAGGTCACAACCAATGAGGCCTCTGTGAGCACAGACTTTACCTGAGGATTTTGGGAAAACTCTGGTATTTCCCCCTTGGAGTGGGGGGCAGGGGCACTCTGTCACTCCCTTAGAGATGCTCTACTGGCAGGACACGTGACCCTATGCCCTGGGAGCTGGAGAAGCACGTGACCTACCCCTGATGCAACCAAAGCTCTGGAGCTGGAGAAGCCATGTAGAGACCCCTACCAGTGCTGAGATGCTCACGCCACTGGATCCAGAAGACTTCCATCCCACTGGCCTGTGATCTTCCTGCATTCAGCTTCACTGCATGTGGTTCATGAGTCTGAGGAGGACTTTATAGATTGGTATCAGAATTGCTTCTCAGGCTTTTGGCTAAGATCAAGTGTAGATTGGTATCAGACATATGGGCTTGATCTAGACTGGCTTGGGTTATTTTCTCAATATTCAACTTCCCTTGTACACTAACCTTTTTTTTACACACATGAGTCTCTGGATTTATTTTTCTAATCTACTCAGACTAACACAGATGGGTCTGTGTGTGTCCATACAAGATGGTATGGCCTTGACTATATAGATTATAAATGTTAAGCCTTAGGGATCTTAGTATCCAAAAAACCCAAACTTCAAATCACTGAATCTCCACTTATCATCCTTCTTCAATGACTAAAGTAAAAAAATAAACACAGCCACAAAGTACTCAATTTCATTTAAAATGGAAAGATTTAAAAGCTACTTAGTGGGGAGGAGGGGAGGCTTCGGGAAGGTTAGAAAAATTATAAGCAGAAAATAAGACCATATATTAAATCACAACTCCAACTCAGTATTCATAGTCTACAAAATCCCTTAAAGTGAAAAACACCATAAGTGTCAGTAATTAAATACCAATTACATTTTAATTTAAAGTTTAATTCACAACTCTCAGAAATTGTACAACCGTCTTAAAAAACAATGCTGAGATATTTTAAGTACACACAACCAACTGTACAGATTTAGAATTATCATCTGTCTTCATATTTAATGTATTGGATAAATATGGCAATGAAACCACCCGGACCTTAACCCTTACGAAGCTCATGGTACGTTCTTGTTATCAAACCCCAGGCCCACATGAGGTTTTAGTCTGTTCTCGTGTCAAGAGACAAGGCTAAACAATAAGGGAGTCCTTTAAAAACATCGATTGACTGGTACAATTTTCTTTTCAAATCTGAGAAGCCAAAGACGTGTAAGGAATACCTAAAGGTTGAATAAACCTCACTAGAAGCAAAGTTAAAGAGGAGTTTGGGACAACACCACATAGCTCAATATTAGCATAGTGCATTTGCCGAAGTTTGGGTTTCCTACACGCAGCCAAATTGGTCTGTCAGTAAATTGGGATGTTAGTAAAATAACATATTGTATCTAATTACATGGGATACCTGAAAAGGACGTTTCTATAATGTCATTTGAGCTCTCTCACCTTAAAGTGAATAAAAAATAGTAATACTGAAATGCACTGTTCTGACACCCTGCTAATTGAAGACACGTCCACAAGCAAGCAAACTTGGAGGTACGGTGACTTGAAGTGGAATGACCACGTGAAAGGCCAATGGAAATGGTATGTGAAATGTTTAAAAGGACACCCGCGACATTTTCCCTTCGAAATCTGAAGCTAAAATACAGAACGGCGAGCTCATTACTTTATGAGTGTTATTCCTAGCAACTGCGGCCTTCCATAGTCACTTTTTCAAAACTGCTTGTTTGCGGAGACTGCTGCTGCGCAGGCGCAGTGCTCGGTGCGGTTGCACCACGACGAGGGGCGCAGAGAAGGCTCCCTGCAAACCCGCAGCCTTCCTCGGGGAGGGGCTCATCACGCCGCCCCAAACACAGACGGGCTTTGGGAAGTGGAAGAACGCTTTCCCCCAGTAAAGTTTATTTTCTAAGAGGGCTACTAATAGTCACTAATCTAAATAATAGTCACTAGTTCAGGAAAACATATTTACTTAGTAACTCAAAATTGCTAACTGGCTATGACACGGAGTGAAGCCTACCCATTAACTCTCCAGCCTTGATATTTTCCACACAAAACTTTTGGAAACAATGAAACGGATTATTTCATCTGCTCTTAAATACCTAGTCTCAGTAAAATATGGAACATTTTCCAATTTGTTAGACATCAAAAGCCATTTAAATAATGTATTGTACATGTACAACATATGCCCTCAATTTTGTAACTCATCAATGTGTAGAAAATTTGGAGACAAGCAACAGCAGCCGGGTATGTTGAAAATGTTGGAATTAATCTTCGTCGTCTCTTTGAAACGGTATGATCTGAAGTTCTTTGGCTAGCCTTTCAGCTATTGTTCTGTTACATGCAGCAATTATTCTTCGTGACATCAAGTCAAACGGCCCACCTAAAATCAAATCAAAGATGGGAAGGGTGATATATTTTGCATAAAAGTCATTCCTATAAAATTAGTTTAGTAGTTTGACTTTCAATCCTAACATTTTAAATACTCCGATAAGCGTCTTAAAAATGTACTCTGTTACATAACTCAACCAAATACCACTCGAGTTCTCAACTCATAAGAGTAAAATATATTATCTTTTCCTCTCTCTTTTTAATATTTTTTTCATTTATTCTTATCAGGCTTTTTTGTTTCCATATCTGGGAGCAAGAAATCTGGCTTCACTAGATTTTCATAATCGGCTCCTTCCCATTTCCTGATTTCTTTGTTCCCCTTTTCCAAGTGCAGCTATAAATTCCTTAAACCCAAATCCGTCCTTCCCTTTAAAAATATCGCCATCAGTTCAAACCAACCATCTAACCTAAGGCCAGGCCAGGGCATGAGTGATGGCAAAGCAAGTCCGCCCTCGACTAGAACAGTCGACACTCAAATAGTTCTCAGAGCCTCAGATCTGCTAGGCCTTCCCTCCTACCTCATGGGATCCGGCCACTCACATTTGAGAGGCTTGGTCATGTACTATTCATCCATTCCCGAACTCCCTCCCAATTAGCTGTTCATCCTGTTTCTTCTTTTGACTTAGCAGAAAAATTCACACCTGGAGCATTTGGCTTTCAGAGTTGAAATACAGTATGTATCACATTTTAAAATAAAATAGCCTAGATAGATGAAGTACAACAGGTGGGTAGAAAAAGATGCTTCACTGTCCGTAAGTTCACCTGTTACATCCAGCAGCACGCCACCAGCTTCAGTAACAATAATGCCGGCTCCTGCCATATCCCAGCAGTGAATTCCCATCTCGTAGTATGCATCTGCTCCTCCCGTGGCCACAAGGCACATATTAACAGCTGCTGTGCCAACACCTCGGATCCTAGCAAACAACATTGAATCATATGGCCAGATTATATTCCTCTCTAGTAAGGTACTCCTCCTTAACTTTAATTTATTGTAAGTATCGAATGAGAGAATTTGAGACTATCTGCAGGATAAATCTTTTAATTTTTTTTTTAAGATGGTAAAATTTTACATGGCGTGAAAAATCCAAGTATCATAGTATCTAGTAAAACCTAACAGCGGCTCTACAGGAAAGGAAAATATGAATGCCTGCTCCCATCAAGACTTAGAGTTTCCAAAAACCCTACCCCGGGTCTCCATGAATCAGAGCTGACTCCAGGGTGTGGGTTTGGCTTGATTTTCAGTTCTTGAAACTACATGAAGGACATATGTGAAAAGATGTTTTAAAGGTATTTTATAATGTAATTATAGGGACTCTCTCAAGGTGACACAATTAGGCCTCACAATGCAACCAGATGAAAAGACTGGCATAAAAACAATCTTGCTAATTTTTCAGGCAAACAAAATCATTGAAGGCTGTTAATTGGACTCTAATGTGATTTGTGCATACTGGCATATTCACATGTATCCAAACACACACACATACACACACACCAAAATAGAAGTAAAATCTCAATCAAACCAAACCCACTCCTAAATAGTGATGCTGTAATGGGTCCCTGAGACCAAATCTTTGTGGGAGCAGACAGCCCCATCTTTCTCCTGGTTGGTGAGTTTGAAACACAGGCCCTGCGGTTGGTAGCCCAATGCTCAGCTTCTGCAACCACCAGGGGCAAGCGAGTTCAAAGATCAGGTTCTTCCGTTCCCGACCGGAGGGTAACAGCACACCTGGGCTCCACACAACCCCAAGCCCTCTGGGGGAAATTAATACAGGTTTGCCTTTGCACAGTACTTTCCTTTAAAAATACACCAACCTAAAATAAATGTGGGCACTATTTGGTCGGCGTTGTACTCATAACTCATTCAGGGAAGAATTATCGACAAGTGCTTAAACTACTGGGTCAAAGTTAAATGGGGAGCAACCTTTTACATACTGCCATAGCAGCTCCCCCAAAGCTACAAAGTGATGGCAATGGTCAACACAGCCTCTCTACCGAACAGAGTCAATATAACATCACCAATAATGTGACAAAGAGGTGTCCTGCTGCTCGTGTTTGAAGCACTGCAGGCCAAATGTCACATTCCTGCCAGAAAGCCGAAACTCATGAGGGAACAAACAAAACAAAAACAAGTCAAGAGGCATTCCATAAAATTACTGGCTATGTTTGCAAACTTTCCATGTCGCTAAGGATAGAGACTGAACCACAACTATTTCACACTAAAGGAAACTGAGAAATTATAGCTAAATGCCATGCTTGATCCTGGATCAGAATTTTTCTTCCAAATTTGAATATAGGACCTACATTAGATAATGTAGCCATGCTAACTTCCTAATTTTCACACTCGTAGTCTAGATATGACTCGTGACCAGGTAGTCCTAGTACCCCAATTTCCATCCAGGGCATGCCCACACAAGTCCCTGATGGCAAGATGACCCTAGCCCTCCCTGGGCTGGGTAGGCAGTCTCAGCAGACACAAAGTTGGCCTCAGGTCAGAGTTCTGCACATTGCTGGTCAACGGTTGGGAAAGTGGAGGCTTTCTACTCCTGCACAGATTCACAGTCTTGGAACCCTACAGGGCAGTTCCACCCTGTCCTAGAGGGCCCCTCAAAGGTAGAATTGACTAAATTGGCAGTAAGTTTGGTGTTTTGGTTTTGGTCAATGGTCAGAAAGAAGCCAAGGAAGACTGACTCATGGAGATTCCAAAAGGGTTGAGAACATCCACTGTAAAGCACAGCCCTCTGAAACTTAGTGCTCCAAATGGAAGCTCTAATACAGATTGAAGACCAAAGGGCCTCGTTGAGTATTAAACAACCACCAAGTGTACTGCCAACAAGACAGAACAGAGTTCAGACCAAAGAAAACAGGTGTATCAATAAATGAATAGGTCTAACATGTCCACTAAAAGAAAAATATTCTCAAGCTGTTTATAAAGCAAAACCACTCTCCGTCGTATCCAAGAGACAGGATTAAAAGATTTGCCAAGCAGATGGAAATAAGAAGAAAGCTAGGATTATGATCTTGATAGCAAAGTAGGCTAAGCATAAAAGCATGAAAACAAGACTAAGGATACTTCAGAGTGGTGAAATTATACAATGACAGTATCTATAACAGTTATGAATGTATAGGCATCCAATACATAGTACTCCTCATCAAAATTGACTCAATGACACACACAGCATTTAAATAAAAGCTCCAAGAAATGCAAGGAGAAGCACACTAATAATAGATTTTAACACATCCTTTCCAATGAAACAGGTCAAGTATTCAAAACACCCAAAAAAAGGAATAAGGTAAATCTTCTGGCTATGTAGGAGTATTATACTCTGATAAAAGACTGTACCTTTTTTTTCGGTGTACATGGAACTTACAAAAAAGTGATCATATACTTAGACACAAAGGTCTCATAAATTATAAAACATTAAAATGGAATAAAACATCAAATAAAATGAAATAGAGAAAAAAACACAACCCTCTACACAGAACTTAAACAGTGCAACTCTTTGATGAAAGGAACTACATCTAGAAATGACAAAATTTTTTAAAATTACCATATTTTTAACACAAATCATGCAGGCCAACTATATCTGTTTGTCCACTATTCCCGCCGCCGCACTAATTATTTTCATAATGCACTGTGCTAATTTTCTTTTTACAATAGCCTGTAAGACAAAAATTGTCATAGCACTGAAGCAAGGGCCTTCTGAGGGAAGGCACAAAGGTAAAAGGCAAGTTCAAGTTACTTGTGTGAAAATATAGTCTAATCAAAACACTACATGGCAGAGTCTATGGGATACATTTAAAACAGTGATCATATGAAAATTCATAGTCCTAAATACTAATACAGGTAAAAAAAAAATCAAAGAAAAGAAATTCACTTAAAAAGAAAATGAAAACTGTGATGGAATAAAATGTCTTAATAAGGCTCTTTATTCATTCGTGTCTCTCTAAACAGTCATGACTGGGTGGAACCACACCAACAAGGCAGGGGATCGGTCACTGGGAGTTGCCGCTCCCCTGGCTATCCGGATGAGCCCCAGTAGAAGGACGGAGGGAAATCCTATGACCACTGGATAAAAGAGCCCCCAGTGCAGCACGGGCCAGATCAAGGAGCGCGTGAAACAGAACAGAGGAGCAGCACTGAGACAATGAGACTGCGAGACTGGGAGGCGGGGCAGCCGGCTGACTTCCTGGCCCAAGAGATAGAGGCCAAGGGGCCACATGGCTGAGGGGCTGAGGCCTGGAAAGAGACTTGCCTACTGACTGCAGAAAGCTGTTGTTAATATAGGGAGAGAGACAGAGAGGGACAGAGAGGGGGTAGAAGGGAGAAGTGAGGAGGGATGAGGGAGGCGGGACAACACCTAATACATTTATGAAATAAATGGGGTAAAGTGTTAACAATGGTGAATCTGGGTAGAGTACACAGAATTGTTTATGCTGTCTTATAACTGTGGTTTCTGATAAGCTTCAAATTATAGTCACACAAAAATGTTAAAAGTTACAATTACAATTAAAATCAAGTTATCCAACCCTAAGTCTGTTCATGAAAAGTTCATTTCCAAAGCAACAGCTATTCCTTGAAGCTATTAAAGCTCCTGAGCGTGTAGGTGGGATGTGGGAAGAGCTTACCCATGAACAGGGAGACCGAGTAGCTTTTCTATGTTTGAAAGGATAACTCTGACAGTCTCTGGTGTTCTGGAGGAGCCAAACTCGGTCACCAAGAGCGATTTGGTGATATCTAAAAGAGAACGTATTAAATGATCACTAACTTTTAATCATTGGAATTCTAACAGAATATTTGACATTCGTAATTGAGAAGAAAGTACAGCATTTTTATCCCTCTTTCTAGTTCCATCAATTTCGTCCTTGCTAGCTCTTTAAAGACTAGGACACTAGTAAATTTCTCATCGCCAAGTGATCACGGGTACATTCACCAGAGTCCAGCTTCCCCCCAAAAGCACAGAATACACACAATTTGCCTGCAGATATAAGAACTTTTTAGTAGGCAAAAAAGTAAATACCTCAAAAAAGAAAAAAAGAATTTAGAAATCAAACCCCCTGAAGAATTTGGATGTTGGTTTAAAAGTAGCAGTGCTGGTTCCATAGTTAAAATTAGGTGGCAGCACCCTGAACGGACTTGCATTTACAAAGAAGACTGCTCATCTGGTGCCCTACGATCCCCTGGAAACACCGTGGGTGCCGTTCAGGGCTCATGGCTGATGGCGCTTCCGCGGTGTACACTTCCACACTTCATCGGTTTTCCCCAGGTGAAATGGATCCTCACCTGCTTTGCTGCTCCCAAACGTGTTTCTAACTAGTGTACTCCCTTTAGCCATTATGCAATTTAAATATTCAGGAAAGTGGGGAAAAATGACTACAAAGAGGAAGAGAACCATTTCCCTGAAGGCTACCCCATTCCATCAACTTGAAGATGCTCGTTTCTCACCTCCCAAAAGAAGGATGTATCTTTCGTTTCATGTGGGTCTTAGAGTTCAACAAAAATGCAGCGGGAACAGATCTGCTCTCATACTCAGGGCAGACAAATCAACTGTAAGTGAGCGAGGGGCAACATTAAATTCTAGAAGGCCTCTGCACACAGGCTGCTTTGCGGGTCTAAGTCTCTGCTGCACTTCAAGGAATCTGAACGGGCAAACATGGAAAATGTTGGACGTGGTTTCCACCAGGGTGGAGCCAAACAAAAACTCACTGCCAGGAGTCTATCTGACTTAAAGTGCCCCTACGGGACAGAGCCGAACCGCCTTGTGGGCTTCCGAGACTTTAAATCTTACGGGAGTCGGAAATCTCCTTTCTCCCGAGGAGGGCTGGAGGTTTGGAGCTGCTGACCTTGCACCTTGGGGTGAGCAGCCCAACACATAAGGCACAGGGAAAGAAGGAAAACTCCGGTCATCTAGCTAATGAAAAATCATTGTTCACCAATTAACAACTTAAACTTTCCCCCCCTAACTTACTCTCTAAAAGCACTGGTCCCATTGGCATCAGACAAGCACGCTATGAAGAATTTGAAATGCAAACACTGAAACGGTCTTTTTTTTTTTAATACTTTTATTGGGGACTCTTACATCTCATCACAATTCATACATTTCTCCCGTATGTCAAGCACATTTGCACATATGCCGCCATCATCATTTTCAAAACATTCTCTTCCCACTTGAGCCCTTGATATCAGCTACACATTTCTTCACCCTCCCTCATGAACCCTTGATAAGTTATAGATTATTATTTCCATATCTTACATCATCCTCCGTTGCCCCTCACCCACTTTTCCGTTACTCATCCCCTTGGGAGGGGGTTCTAGATTGATCCTTGTGATCTATTCCCTCTTTCGCCCCCACCCTCCCCTAATCCTCCTGGTATCTCTACTCTCACTGTTGGTCCTGAGGGCTTATCTATCCTGGATTCCCAGTGTTGCGGGGTCTTATCTGTAGCAGTGTGCATGCTCTGGTCTAATCTAATTTGTAAGATAGAACTGAGGTCAGGATAGTGGGGAGAAGGAAGCATGAAAGAACTAGAGGAAAGCTGTGTGTTTCATCGGTGCTATACTGCACCCTGACTGGCTCATCTCTTTCCTGTGACCCCTCTGCGAGGGGATGTCCAATCTTGAACCTCACAAAGGCAGGGGGCCGCCCAGCCTTCCTCATTCTTTTTTCCCTGGAGCACGGTGCTGAGCCTGAAATGTTCATGGAACTACATTTGTTGCCACAACTCCACCCAAGAAGCTGGCGCAGAGCCAGGCGGCATTTCCTTCTGTGGCACAGGAGGTCGCCATGGGGCGGCGCCAACTCAACTGCCCTTAATGATGACTACCTTCAAAACCGAGCGCCAAAGCAAAACGGGGAAGAGAACACGAGCACGCCTGATGGATCGCTTAATACTTGGCAGTTATCATAGGTTAATCGTTATTAAAAATACAACCTGCGTATGCATCATTATTCCACCACAGGTGGATGGGCGGGGAGCCTACCTGCTTGTTGGGAAACCTGTAGTCGCAGGCCATTACAGAAGGCACCTTTTCCTTTCCTGCCAGTGTACATCTTGTCCTCCACGCAACTGTACACCACTCCAAACTCCATCTGCACAAAGAAGCACCTTTGCTTTACCAATCCTGCTCAGCTTTCTTCTTCACATCAGTGCTTCTCTATGACAGTCACTGAAAACCTGGTACACTGACCAATAATCATGTGTTCAAATGGCTACACGGTGGGACAGTTAAGATGCTAATTTCCAGTCTAATCAAAGGGGGGCAGTCATCAGACCTGAGCTTCTCACCTTCCCTCCTACCCATTTCTAGCGTGCTCTCTCTCCTTCCTGCTTGAGATGGAGATGCAGACTTCCTGTTCCCCAAGGCGAACCCTTCTATCTCTTCGGCTTAGCTCCCCTACAAAATCTTCCCTTAGCTCTAAACCCTTCAGGATGCTGTCCTCTCTTTTTCCTTGCACTGTCAAAGAGTAGCCTACAGATGCAAAGAGGAGCCCTGGTAGTGTAGTGGTAACGAGTTGGGCTGCTAACCACAAGGTAAGCAGCTTGAAACCACTAGCTGCTCTGTAGCAGAAAGATGAGGCTTTCTACTCCCATAGAATTAGTCTCAGTAGCCCACGGGTGGCAATTCTACCCTGTCCTATATGAGGCTCCTCTTAGCAGTCCTGGTGGGGCAGTCGGCTAACTCCCAGGACAGCAACGCAAGCCCAACGGCTCCTTGGTGGAGAAAGATGAGGCTGTGTGTTCCCAGAGATTCAGTCTCAAAACTCTAAGGGGCAGTCTGACTCTGTCTCGCAGGGTCATTATGAATCAGCATGTACGCAAAGGCCATGGGCATTCTCTTGATCCACTGCTGTTTTACTTCTGCCTCAACCATTCATTCTGGGGACACCCTTCACAGAGATCATCAATGAACTCTTACAGATCAAATGCCTTCTCTGGAGAACCCGAGACTCTTGATCATCAGCTATACTTTATGTTTTGGGCAGTATTCTCTTTGTTCTCTGTCTAACTCATTTTTAGTATTTTTTTTAATATCTTCTTTGTCTCACCCTTAAAATTGTGTAATTTTGTTCCCTTTCTTTCCTGTCCCTTCGCGCTCTCTGCGTCTTTTCCAGTTCCCAGTTCTGGCTTTCCTCAGTCCATCACCACAGGCAGACCTCGTCTTCAGATCACCCATTCGTCTTGCAGAAACCTCAGCCAGAGGTCAAAATCACTCCCTGCCTGCTCATACTTCACCTGTTCTCCACGAGCCTCCTCTGTCACATGGTCTCTCCAGGGCGCTTCCTGATCCGGGTGTTCCCTCAGCCATGCGCACTACCCAGTCTGAGTTCAAAAACCAGTCCCACTCGACCTGGCACGCATTACCTGCCACTCTCCACGACAGGAAAACCTTTTGTTTTCCCTTCTCCCCCAAACGAAGCCTTGAATGCATGGCGCAAATAGGCTGCGGTGCCTCGACAAATCCCATCATCACCCTCGGTGGCTGCCACCCTGTCCTTTCCCCACCCATGCCATGCATTACGACTTCTTCAATCGATTCTTTCGCATCAGAATGCTTCTCTTTCACCCTTTGCCTGTCAAATCTCTTCATTTCCTGAGGCTCAACTCAAATAACCAGCTTCTCAGAGCCACAGCTCTGAAGATTTCTCTCTGCACGCACTCTGCACAGAACCCACCACACTGCTGTGAGTCCAGAGTCCTGGCGCCCCACCCGATGAAGGCATCTATTTATCCATCTCGCTTCTGCAATCAGCTGTGCGGCCCAGGACAAGGACTACACACAGCCCCACGAGGACTCTGTGCTAAATGCTCAATTATCTCCTGTAGGAAGTTTTCACTTAGCACCACCCTATGACAGAAGCTTTCATTTGTATTATCTGTCTGTTATTTCCAGAGCTTTATCAACTGTCTTGTTTACATGGTGATAAAATACATCACAAGCTCCTTGCAGATAAGTATAGCTGATGTTCTTAAGAATTTTTCATTCTATCACCAACAGACTAGTGAAACAGCAAGGAAAAACAGGGGCTATGCATTTTACTAGGTTTTCGATCGAACCCTGGTGGCAAGAGCTGTTCGGTGCTCAGCTGCTAACCAAACGGCCTGGGGCTCGAACTTGCCAGGAGCGCCCGGGAAAAGACATTGCTCCCTGCTTCTGAAAAGACTGATAGCCTTAGAAGCTGGCAATTCTCTTCTGTCCCATACGATTGCTATAAATCATAACTGACCTGTTGGCAATGGGTTTTAAGGGGCTAGAGCTGTAATGAGTGTACAACTACATTTAGATTTCTGAACATTGTCGGCATTTTCCTCCCAGCCTTCAGCCCCTGCCACTCCCTGGTCTTAGATGGCTCCTGCATCCACTACCTCACACTCCACCTCTTCCATCAAGCTTTTTCTATTCGCATTTGAACTCCTGTAATAATTGGACCCTAGCATGTAAACAGTGGTGATTAAATAAATGAAGTGGACTTCTGTTACGAGTACATATTTTCTCCTTAGAATTCCTGTTCTCAAAAAACAGTAAACTTTCTTCACTGGTAAAGTATGATGACTTACACTTGGGAAAAATGCAGATGTAAAAATTGAATATACAGGCAAATATATTTTGAAGACACTGTTTCGTTTTCTCAGAAAGTAAAAGCAAGGCATTTTATGAACCACACATTTAAAACAACTTACCTTCTTATTTACAACAAAGCCAATAGAAACAGCTACAAATGGAAATCTAAAAAAAAAAATCAGTATTTTTTCATAATGCAATACTTTACAAAACCTTTCACAACTATACATAACCCTCTTCCCCACAAAAAGCAAAGCCCAGAGCAGTATGCAAAGTATATGGCCATTCACATATATTAGGGAACACACAATATACATATGAGGGGGTACCCAAAACAAAACAACAAAATGGAAAAAGCTCCGCTGTGCGGAGCTTCTGTAGCTCACATTTTCCCCTCTATACGAGCATCCAGCAGAGCATCCAGCAACTCGCTCTGAGTTAGTGCATCCAGGGTCATCGCCTGGGAAGGTTCTCTGGTCATAGTGAATCTTTTCGTAAAAGAAGTTTCACTTGAGCCTTGTTTTTTGGGGATGGCTGATTTAAGAGAACAGCATATGGTTGTGAAATTTTGTTTCCTGCTCAGGAAAAATGCCGCAGAAACTGTTGTGATGTTGAACACAGCTTACAAGGACAGCACTATGGGAAAAGCTCAAGTATATGAGTGGTTTTCGTTTCAATAAAGGTGAAATGTCGATTGATGACAAACCTTGTTCTGAATGTCCATCACCTTCCCAAACAGACAAAAATGTCAACAAAATCCTGCACCTGTGCTCAAAGACTGATGGCGGACCACTGAGGAGATGGGGAAGTTATCTGGACTATCGTGGAGCTTGGTTCAGTGAACTTTAAGGGAAGATTTCGGAATGCGAAGGGTCTCTGCGAAATGTGTGCCTTGGTTTCTGACTGACCAGGAGAAAGAGTGTCAAGTGGAAATCTGCCATCCTCTAAAAGAAGAGCAGCAAAAAACCCAAATGGCTTTTTAAGGTCATTACTGATGGGGAGACATGGTGCTGTTCTTACAACCCCAAAGGAAACATCAATCAAGCCAGTGGAAAACACCGTCGTCACCTCATCCCCAAAAAGCTTGTCAAGTGAAATCAAAGATTAAGATGAAGCTCATTTGTGTTTTTTGATGTGAGGGGATAGTGCATTTGAGTTCATTCCACCAGGTTAGACTGTTAATCAAGCTTTCTATTTTGAGGTTCTGAAAAGATTGTGTAACAGCATGTGGGTGACTGATTTTGCCACCATGACAATGCACCTTCTCACACGCCATCTCAGTGAGCCAGTTTTTGGTAAAAAACAGCATGTCTCACTTGCCCCACACACCTTACTCACCTGACCTCGCTCAGTGTGACTTCTTTTTGTTGCCACGAATGAAAAGGGACATGAAAGGACAGCGATTTGATGACAGAAGAGATGAAAAAAAAAAATGAGGGAGGTGCTGTCAGAGCCATCCAAACAGATGAGTTTGAAAAATGTTCACAAGAATGGAATCACAGATTTGTCAAATGTATTAAGTGTATTGGAGAGTATTTTTGAAGGTGATAAGGTTGTTTTATTAAAAAAATGTAAATACAGAGCTTTGAACAAAAATTCCATTTTGTTTTTTGGGTACCCCCTAGTATTTCGGGAGAGCGCCTGGCTGGCACAAAGGGTTTGCATGCTTCTACCCCAAAGGTTGTGGCTCAAGTCCTCCCAGGGGAGCCTTGAGGAAAGGCCTGGTAATCAGCTTCCAGATCACCAGTCTTCACAAACCTCCTGGAGCAGAGTTCTACTCAGCCACACTGCTTCACTCAGTGGCAACTGCTTTTAAGTTCAAGCACACGCATCAAACACAGCACAGAGGCCGCTCTACTCTGGCCTGCAGGGTCGCCCTGAGTCGGAGTGGACTGGATGGCAGTGAGGGTGCACACGAACACACAGGTTGCTTCTATTGGCACGAACGCTCCACTCCGAGAGAATTCACTAGGAACTGGTACCAACAGTCACTTCGAAAGATGGGTACTAGCTAACTGGAGACCTGATCTGGGAAGGACATTCTGCACTGCATACCATTTTTAAGAAAAAGTGCTTCAAAAAATTTCATGCAAAAATGGAATTAAAAGGTAATGCAATTTTCCCCACAAACTTGTAAAGTTCTCTTGTATATCTTTTGAATATACTATTTTAAAAAAGGAATCTTGGGGGCTTAGTGGTTAAGTACTGGGCTGCTAACCAACAAGGCCAGCAGTTCTTACCAGGAGCCACTTAGCAAGCAAAAGAAGTGGCTGTCAGTTTCCCTACAGATGCGCACACTGGAAAACCTGGGAGGCAGTTCTACTCTGTCCTACGGAGTTGCTGTTAGTAGAAATCCACTCTTTAGAAATGAGTTTGTTTGTTTGTTTGTTTTTTTAATTAAAAGAATTTTCTTTTCAAACTATTTAACAATTTAGAAAAAAATAAATTATTTTTCTCCAGGCAAGCCACTCAGAGGCTATGCCTGTAGTAGCCCCCTGTCATTGACTCGACTTCAATTCACGGGATCCTAGAGGGATCCGAGACTGTGGCTCTGCACCATTAGAAGACCCCATCTTTCTCCCAAGTGGTTGCTGGTGGTTCTCAATGTCTGCAGAGTAGACCAGAGGTTCCCACGGTATATCGCCTACCCCCCATTTCAAAAGAAAATTATTACTCAGCAGCCCCACCCCAGCAATCAACAATGTTTGCAATCCAGGATAAAAATGTATTTATTTCCTGAATCCTTGGTGGCACAGTGGTTTCTGATTAGGCTATGACCCCCGAGGTCAGAGTGCAAACCACCAGGAGCCAGTCCCATAAACAGTCAGAAACACAGGGGCAGTTCTACCCTGCCCGGTGGCGTCACTATGAATCGGCATCGACTCCACGGCAGTGAATTTGTCCTTATTTATTTAGCTATTTATTTTTGTTTGTTTGTTTGTTTGTTTATTTATATCAGGCCAGCACCCCCTCACCCCCACCCCAGAAGGCATTATCCCCTGCTTTACGAAGCACTGGGACCAGACTGTTACTTGTCCCCACCCCCCATCTGAAAAGTAAACGGCTTGTGACACTAACTGCTATGGCTGTGCGGCAGTGTGAGCACATGCACTGTACTTTAAGACTCACAGTAGAAGCACAATCAGGAAAATGGACAATACATTCAATGTGGCTACTGAAAGTAAAGCTTTAATAACACAGTTAGCACCGAGCTTTCAACTTAACAAAAAGAGATCATACTGTAAGCACTATTATAATTGTTTCTTGTTCCTAATTTAGAAGATATGGCAACTCCACACTATTTCTCTCCCTCACCCTCCCCAGACCTGGTGGAAATTATGCTTCTTACATTTTGCTCTACTCAACTTTAGACACGCAGGCTAGAGAAGCGTAAGCAAGTTACACAGTTTTCTCAAGTGTTTGTGTTCCTGAAGAGGATGCTCTACAGGCTCGCTTTGTTCATACACAGTCGTTACAATATTACGATTGTAAAAACATACCTATGCACAAAGTTAGTGGTCCCATCAATAGGATCAATGATCCACGTAGGGTTGTCCGTTAAAGTACTTTTCTCTCCAGCTGCCACGGACTCTTCGCCAATGAAACTGAAAGCAAGAGGGACACATCCCTTGACAAGACTTTCAACAATTCTCAAACCACAACATTTCCTTAACCACAGTCTACTGTGAAACATAACCGCATCTGCATCTTAGCCTTCTCTCCTGTAGCTCTGATTTTCTTCCTGTAAAGGCCAATAAAGTGAGTAAGTCTTATTTCACCCTGAGCAAAATCAGGTGAAAAGTAATAAGATTGTCAATTGTAAAATGCATTAATACTCAAAAAAAAAAAAAAAAAAAAGGAACAAAAGGAGCCCTGGTGGTATGTGCAGTCCAGTGTGCAGTTTGCATGAGGCTAGCAGTTCAAAACCACCAGCCCCTCCTGGGAAGAAAGATGAGGCTCTCTACTGTAAAAGCTACATTCTCAGAAACCCTCAGGGGCAGTTTCTACCTTGTCCTATAGGCTCCTTATGACTTGTAATTGACTTGATGGCACTCAGAAACCAAAAACAGAAAAGTTATCTAATGCTGCTAAGTTTTGATGGTTATTTGTTATGGAAAACAAAGCAATAAGTGTCATAGATTGAATTGTGTCCTGAAAAATACATTTGGTAAATCCTGTGACTGATGGATTGAACTAACTCTCACAGCAAGAATTCTAGAGACAATACACATGCCAAAGCGGCTACATCTATGGTCTGCCGCTGAACGGAAAGGACCATTCCCGGAGCAGCTTGGAGAAGAGCAGCACTGTGGGAAGGAACAGGACAAGGGGGCCTTTGCGTTTTCAGGGGAAGGGGCTAAGGTCTCCCGGATCGCCTAGGTTTCAAGGAGTCATAGCCGCACCTCCTGAGTGTGAGGCTGCTTTAAGCTGGGTAAGGAAGGTGAGGCTGCTATGCTAAGGGATGGAAGAACAGGGCCTCCGGGACTCAGGAGGCAGGGCTGCCACTCAGATGGACCAAGAGAATGGGGCAGACTAAGGCTGAAGGAACAGAGTGGCCACACTTGTGCTGTCTTCATTACTGTTATCTCTTTTACCTCTCTAGGATCTAATATCCATCGCAAGGTGTGCTGGTAAGACAGCCAGGATTTGAGTATTTTGCTTCAACTCTCTAGTTACCAGCGCTCTGCTACAGCAAGACGTTTGCGATACGAAGAACAATACTGAATGTCTACCTGATGTCGACGGCAGCCATCGGTCATGGGGCTGCTCCATATCCAAATATTCCCCTTGTTTTGGTTAGGTGCCACCAGGTTTGTTCCAAGTCACGGCACCCCAGCAAGAGAACAAGAACCGTCTTGGTCCTGTGCCATCCCCATGGGGATCGTGAGGCTTGAGCCCATCCCGGAGAGGAGCCGGGCTTCCTGGCAAGCAATCTGAACACAGGAAGCAGGTGCTCCTGCACAGGATTTGTGATCCCGAGTCAATTCAGTTTAGGGCTGGTGAGGAAATGTTCAAATCCATCACAATCAAGAGTGAGGTCATGGGGCATGTCTTTGTCCCATGATTCATGCATGATCCTGGCTCTCTGGGTTCCTGAGCTGCCCACACCTCTCAATAAACTCATTTCCTCCTAAGGGAGCCACCGCTAGCCTGTATATGTGGAATAAAAATTCCAGTCTAAGACATTGGTTTCACCCTGGGGTTCATTTCGTCCACTTGAAATAGTAAGTACCTGTGAGATGGGTATTTTTCTTTTATGGCAGAGAAAAGCATTTTTTCAACTTTTTGGTCTGTCGCCGTTACCAAATCAGCTGGGGAACTTTTAATCATGACATTCATTTCCTTTTTCAGAGCGTCACAAACCACCTAAGGAGAATTTGGTGGGGGGGGGGGGTGGTAGGCAAATAGAAAATATGTAAGTGATATTCAATCAAGCTAAAAAGTATAATAAAGAAATGGCTTAAACATGGAAGATCTCTTAAATAACATTCTTACAAATGTCTTTAATGCTACAGAATCATCCTTTGGTGCGACGGCCTCCTTAGGACCAAAGGAGATCACTTTACACCTTATTTTAGGTTCACAACTGTCATCACAAAATTTCCAATAACATGATTTGAGTACACAGATGCGTGTGTGCTTCTGCCTCGAGCCTGCCTCGTGTTATTTCAGGGGCTGCAGAGCAAGAGTTCAGTGCTGCGCTTTCCAGTCTAGGGCCTTCTGGAATCAGAGCCCCAGGCTCATCTGAGATGCCCCTTGTGGGTGGGAGCCGCCAACACTTCATCTGGAAGCAGTGCTGAACTGCTTGCATCACCCAGGGACTGCTTCATTAACACATCGAAAAATACATCACACCCACCGCCAGGGAGTCGATCCGACTCAGAGTAACCGTATCTTCAGTTTCCCTGAGTATAAAAATCTTTATAGGCTCCGACAGCCTCAGGCATGTCTTTCCCCGAGGGGCAGCTGGTGGATCTCCACGGCTGACCACAGGCTAGCACCCCAGCGCCAAGTCGGCCGTGTCACCGGGGCTCCTTTTTATTGACAGAGATAAATCTTTATCTTTCTAAAATACTCACTCCATTTAAAGTATGAAGAAAAAGAGGATCGATTAAAATATGCTCTGAACTGAACAAGGCAAGCACACACAGTACGCATCCATTACATTAAAACGGAAAAGAGAGTTTTAGCTCATACCTCTCCGGCTTGTCTTGCTAGGGCCACTGCATAATCCATGCATTCCTGCCAAGGGTCAGCCATCTTCAGAATAAATCAAACAAACATTAGCAGAGACATTGCAAATCTCTAGACACCTTAATGAAAGAACAGTTCATTCAAAATATGTCGCTAGGCAAAATACTTCATTTTGAGACAGCCAGGGACGGAGTGCAAAAAACCGAGATCCACCATAAGAGGTCAAATGACCCTCTTCTAATGCTAAGGAATTTCAGGCAGAAAGAACGATGGCAGTAAGTAGATGGGCGCCTTCTACTTGTGGTGATAGGTCCGGGTTATTAGTCTATCTAGCTCCGTTGTTTCAGGTTTAACTTGGGGTGGCATTGGATTCCTGGCCACAAGTCAAAGGTTCAAGCCTACAGGGAGAAAGTTGAGGCTGTGTGTTCCCGGGGAGATTTACAACTTCAGAATCCCTGTATCGGGTGGTGGTAAGTTGGAATCGACTGGATGGCAGTGGTATTTTCAGTTGGTTCGTTTGCCACTAGTTACAGTGGCAGGAGGCATGCACAGGGGAATCGGAACATGATCTAAACTTCCTGGGGTGGCAACCTGCATCCCTGGACAAGATGTGCACTGGGGCACACCCCTTCACCACGTGGCTCCATGTCCAAGAAGAGCTGCACCACCGCTCTTATTAGCACAATCCAACCCTTTCCTAATAAATCCCATCTTCTATAATAAATAAACATGAGATCAGCTGCTGAAGCAGCTAGGCTATTTCTTCCATTAATAACTATAAACGCTGCCGGAAGGTAACTCGATGCTGTCTCCACTTATTTGTGAGATGCAGGCAAGGGCGCTTGGAGCCCTCCCGGGGCCTCTGGCCTCATAACAAGGTCAGCATTTATTTCCATTTTATTTAAGAAATCAAAATTTTAGAAGATGTATTCCAAGTTCCAAGAAAAGCCAAACGAGTCCATTTTTGACAGTAGAGACATTTCCCGAGCAGAACATACTCCGAAAACTCACTGCCACCGAGTGGATTCTGTAAATCTACGGATGCAGGCTGCGTCATCTTTCTCCGGCAGATAGGCTCAAACTGCCAGCCTTGGGGTTCACAGTTGAGTGCTTAATCACTGTGCCACCGAGATGTCTCCCAGAGCGTTCACATCCTGTCACACAGCAAACACACACTCGGAGAAAGGAGAGAAAACAGGACAAGATTGGAATTATGTCAAAATGAGAAAGTCATTGGGCAAAGCAGCTCTGAAGGAAGACACAAAATATGTACTTCCAGAACAGGCAGTGTGATAGGAGCTTTGCATAAGGCAGATTCTTTCCTCCTAAATGAAGCTGTAAGAATG